TAAAATTCAAGCGCTTGATTCAATGCAGCACTTTTTAATCAAGAGGCAGTTTAAATGGGGCCTCAATGTATTCGCTGGTTTTTAGAATTTTTAAAATAACAAACAAAAATTACATTCGGTTGAAATAGGGAACATTTCTCTTTCTCCGATGGAATCGTCTTCAAATCAAAACCGGCGATGAATGTCAAAAGTTCGAAACAGAAAATTTTCCATTGTGAGAAGTTTTATTTCAAGTGAGTCATTGATTCCCCAATTTTGAATGTTCATTGCCATCACGGGTCTTCTGGTTTTTGAAACTGGTCAATTCAAAGCGGTCAGAAGTTCTACAATTAAAATATAGAAAATGCATTTTAAAAAATCCCATGCATTACAAACGCGTACTGCTCTTGGAGTGTGCGTATATAGTTCAACTCATCACGATATAAGACTTGACTTAAGTCGCTCCCTTTTTTCAAACAAGTCCCTGATAATTCATATATACAAATATACATATATTTTTCTGTTCCTCTCTTATTCTTCTCGTTCGATGTCGTTCTTTTTTTTTCGTTTTGTTCCTTCTTTTGTGGCTCTCTCTCTCTGCATAGCATACACTCTATTCAAAATCGTATATATATCGTACTTTACCATCGAGAGACGAAAACCGTGTATATATCTTTGGTGTTGTTAGTGCATTACGGCTTTTATATAGTTTTACTTCGTGAATGTGAAACGTTTTATAACATAGAAATCATATCACAATTGTATGGCATAGAAGCAAGAGGGAATATAGCCGTACTGTGGTGTATTACTGCTGTGTACACATTTCACGATGTGAAATAAAAGACGAACGAATTGTATGTGCGCAGCTCACCGCTTACACTCCATGCCATGAGTTCGACACAAAATGAATATCACACACACACATATTCCCTCTCCCTCATTCTGCGGTGTTGGTATTTAGGAATGAAAGGAGAGAAAGAGAGAGAGAGCGAAAAAATATATATACGAAAATAGCGCGCTGGTTCGTTTGCTAGCGAGCTAGCTCAAACAAACTCGTACAATGTTGTTGGCAACTAACGCTTTAGAGAATGAAAACAATTCGAACAGAGAAACACCGTACGAAAAATAACACACCAATTCCAATTGGAATGAGGATCAGCAACAAAATACGAATCAAATATTGAGCGGATATCTTTAGTGCTGATGAGGTTTGTGGCCAGAAAAATTGATTTCATAAAAAATTTGACGAATATGAAATTTTGATTCGAAAGCAGCTATATTGATTTCGTTCGCTTTATCTCCTCATTTGATTTCTCTTTCATTTTGTTGCTGATTCATTTGTTTTCTCGGCAAAAAATATGCGATTTCACCGAATTACCGGTGAACTTAAAGATTTTTTTTCATTTTTCGTCAATCTGCACTTTCGCCCGTTGATCCGAGGACGAGCGAGAGTCAAAGAGAGAGAGAGAGAGAGAGAGAGAGAGAGAGAGAACGAGAGATGAAGAGAAGCGAAAAGAGTAACAAATGCATGGATGAACAAACGAAAAACGAAACGTATTAAGTGAAAATGTCCATAAGAATGTTTTATCAGAGCCAAGTGGTTGTTATATTCGACCTGTCGTTCATTCGCCATCGCCGATCCCAAACCGAAACATGAAAAACTATACAGCTTTTACGCAGAGCGAAAAATCGAGATCTAAAGTTCGATACACAATATGCTGGCACTCACTTCAATTTGGCAAAATTATGAATTTAACATTTACTGAAATCGGTACGAGCACCAGCAGTAGCGGCAACTCCATTTTCTGCCAGAAATATAAATAGTGTGCCAAATTTGAAATTCATAACGCTTCCAACCAGCAACCATTCACCAGATTCATTTGTTTGCTATTTCTCATTTTTTCCCATTCGCTTAATATTTTCAAACAAATTCAAAGTTTTGTTCGTCCATTAACAGATCATACCGCATTGTCGAATATCACACGGCTGAGTCAGAAAAGTGCCCAATGCGGACATTTTTGGCATTTAAAAATGGTGTGTATCTCTTGCAAGTGGTTCGTTGGTCGGTCGGTCACTTTGGCTCTGGTTTCATAAAACAGTCTCTGTCGTTATTTTAATTCAGTGCTGTGTGATACACCCACAGATAAAAGCATATCCATCTCTCGCCTCTTCCTTTCTCTCTGTCTCTCAATTACTATTTCAATTTCGATGCCGAGACACAACAGTGTGTCGAATAATAACAAAGCGGCAAGGAGAGTTTTCATTATTTCAATTCTCGATGTTCTCGGTATTTTTGTTGTTTTGGTGTGTACAAGCGGATAAAATGTGCGTACCACACAAATGAAATTCATTTTGTATATTCGAAATGTTGAGCAGCAACAGTAGACAGCGGCATCACTGCCAACCAAATACAAAATCGTTGTTCGACTTTCAAATATAAATTTTCGTGTCAATGAAGAGAGCGAACGAGTTAGCATACACAAACAGTATGGGCAAAGCAAAACAAAACCAATTCGAACGAACGTACGAACGAACGAATGAACGAAATCGTCTGAACACGAAAATCCCGTACACACAAAATCATTGTATAGAGCATAAAGCTTACGAACGCATATTGACACGATATGGAATAGTATATTCTATATCCATCTACGTACAACCTTTACGGTATTATATTCATTTCGAAGCTCGAACAGCAATGACTCAGGCAGAGAAAGAGAGCAACGAGAGAACACAAAATGAAAATAAGCCACAAACATACAAACACATACACTTATGCGACGTACATACACACATCATTTGTACAATTGCTGAAAAATTTGCATCGTATTTTTCTAGTCGTTATCATATTGAAATTCGATCGTGGCAGGGTGTTTCAACATCGATTCTCTTCCACAAAAAGACACTTCTTTTCGGCAATGACATTTGTGGCCAATACTCAGTGTCTGGCATTGGCAGTGGATTTCATTCATCGAACACCCGTTTGGATTTTTGGGAAATTGAAACACCCTATAAGAAAATTTGTCGCTTGTGGTCGGTATGATCATTGTCAAATTTGCCATCATTCTGTTCTCTGCTGCACTCTTATCAGCTCAGATGTGAAAAATGACTTACCGACCGAATCATGGTCGATTGATTGCTATCATCAGATTTCTGCCCTCAACATTTTTATCAAATAATTGCATGCAATTTGGAACAAGAGAGCGTGCGCATTAGTATTTGTCCGTTTTTTTTTGAGTAAAATTAGCTAACGATTTTTAAAAATTTGAAAATTATATCCCTCTTGAAATCTGTCATTTTTGTTTATATATACATTTTTACATAAGCATCTGCAATACAAAATTAATTGGATTTTTGTCGCTCTCTGGAGTGAACTGGATTTGCGTCTTCGATTGATTTTTCCTCAATTCCACACTGTGTCGTACACCAAAAAAAAAACGTTTTGTTGTTCGTCGATATATTATTCGAAAATTGAATCGACAAAGTATATTTGGATCGAGTTCGATATTCTCCGATGTGCGCACATAACGACGAACAGAAGAAAAACACATATCCCAACGATAAAATTGTCTCAAAATTGTGTGCACGACGCTTGAATATAGACGCCAAACCAACAAAAACTGTGTGTTTGTCACATTTGTTTCGAGTGTTACAAACACAAAGTCAATTCTGATCGTCTTTTTGTGAACACAACGTAAGCATCGCACGATATTTTGTATAATAATACATTTTATATTTTTTTACGAAAATAATGAGGATGAGTAAATTGTGTTTTTGTGAAAAGCGTAAATTTCGAGAAGCATTCGATTTAAATGATTCCGAAATAATCGTTAATCTGCTCCTTGATTCGTTTGCCACACACTTTACATTCGAACTGAATCGGACACTGTACTCTTTCGCCCAATCAAATAAAATCGATCGAATTTTTCGGATTGATTAAATCCAGTTGGAGCGAAGAGAAACAGCAAGAGTTTAGCATACAACAATCAAAATGTATTTGCAAAGAAATTCAATTTTCTTGCAAATGTCTCAAATGATTTTCGACAATGTAACGTTTTCTCATCAATAAACTGTTAATGAAGGAACTTTGAGTACATCAAATCAAATTTTTTTTCTTTTGTGTTGATTCAATTATTTTTGATGTATGGATGTGTGTGTGTGTGTTTGCGGGCAGCGCCCTCTCTGATTCCCCCGTTCAATTCAGTCGTCTCGAACGATTTTAAGCCCATTTAAAACACTCATTCATACATAGATGCAAGTTTATTTACGTGAACTTGACGCAATTCCAATAAAAATATACAACTACATGGCAGAAGTGTGTGAAACAAAATCGTTCGAAAAGTTTATTGAAAATTGCGCATCATACAATGTGAATGTGTGAGTGTTGAAATCATTGAGAATTCACTCGCCTTGACTAATCTAATCTACAGACTAAACCTAAACGGTTTGAGTATACTGATAACCGCAAACGTTATACGTTTTTGTTCATAACATGCCCATACCAAATCGAAGCAAATGATTTCATCACAACTGATTTTTATGAAAATGAAGGAAAAAGAGAACTGATGATGTGCATGTGGACGAGATTTCATTTGCTGGAAAGATAGCTTTTCTATTATTTCGCGCTGATTCAACAAAATACACACATCATCATCATTGGCCATGCAATCGATAAGCACTTTGATGAATTTTCGCATTGTTGATATTACAAAAATAGACGTGTCTCGGCTAAAAATTGTCTGCCATTCGAAAACATATTTTTAAATTTTTCGGAACAAAACAAAGAAAAAACTTGAGAATTTACGATTGAAATTCGGTTTGAAAATAATATGGTCAATTATGGTTGAAATAAAATTAAAAAAACATGCATGCATATTTTGTTAAACTTTTCCATTTTTTTTTTTTCAATTTGAGCTGTTCATATAGTTTGATTGTCATCTTTCTCCAAAATATTCGAAAAGTGCGCCATTGATTAAAGCTTGAGAGTACACGTTTGCCAGAAATTTCGCTGCAACATCAGAGGGCGCTTGTGTTGGTCGCATTATGACAATGACAGCTATTTCGTACACAAAAATATTCAGCTTGTTCGATTGACAATAATAAGTTCGACGTTCGACGCACATACTGCCTAATCTGAATTATTTTATCTTTTCAAACGTGAATTAATTCAATTTGATTTAAAAAAAAAAATGTCGTCACACATGAGCACCAAAGAGCGGCTTCTGTCTCTAATCGATGACTTTGAAATCATAGCAAAGTAAGTGAGAAACGTTCAACGATAGAAAGTAGTAGAGTTTAATAGTTTAAATTATTTTTGTAAATTTACTATGTTCACAGGGAATTGATTGAGAATTCGAATGCGCCCAAACATCAGAAAATCTCACAAAATGATCACAGTCAATTGGTTGACTTGCTCATATCGAAGGACGATGAATTTAAAAGCGTTTTGAAATTGGCCGAAGAACAAGCCCAAATCGAACAGAAGATGGTTGCATTGAAGGCAAAAGTTCATTTACGTGATCAACAAATCAAACGGTTGCAACGTCGCCTAAAAGATTCAGAGGAAATTTTATCGCGTGCACTATTTCAAGCGCGTCAAAAACTAGCCAGCATCAATGTTGCCAATAAGAAACCGGTATCATCCGAAGAACTCATCAAATATGCATACCGGTAAGACATTTACTTTTTACATTCAAATGAAGATCTCAATTACAAACTAAATCGAATGGAATTTATTTTTTGCAGGATAAGTGCATCTAATGCGATCAGCGCACCATTGACATGGCAACAGGGTGATTTGAGACGACCGTATCCAACCGACATTGAAATGCGATTAGGTTTCTTAGGCAAATCAGACTTATCGAATGTAAATGGTCATAGTTCGCAGAATCAAAGTGCAACCACAAGCGATTTTCCAAAACCATCGATTGGAGGTAATTTATTTTGGATAGAATTACCATTTAATCAGAATTTGTTCATTCAATAATGTTTTTTCTCATTGTGGAAAATAGACGTTCCGTTGGCGTCACAGAATCAATTTGCATGGATGCAATCGGGTGAACTACACATGACCATGGGTAAAAGTTCAAATGCAACGAGCGTTCCACTTGATACAAGGTACTTTCCAGTCTATTTACGACAGAGAAAAGGTCTACTGCTTGATTTTAATTATGAGTTTGAATTTATTGCAGAAATCATAAGGATGCAAATCAAGATGAGGTTGAGGTTATGTCAACGGACAGTTCAAGTACCAGCTCCAGTGATTCTCAATAGAATACCAATTCTCTCTTAAAAAAATCAAAAAATCAAAATCATTTATCCAACATTAGATTTAGAGTCTCCCATTAATATTAGTCCATCTAATTCATGAATTATTTTTTTTATTTGTACGGTTATAAGAGTTCATAGCTAAATAATTCACAAAATTAAGCATAATACCATTTCCATTTATTTAGATGTATGATAATGACGAATATTTCTGAAATAAAAATATCAAATGAAACGGCAGTGGTTTATCTATTGAAAAGAGAAGCTCTTCTGTAGAGCAGTGATTTTTTTAATTATCATCATTTATTTCTCGAACGGTATTAATTAATTTTCTTCGTCTTATTATTATCAAGTACAAAAGGTAATTGTTCTTAAAATTTCACATTAAAAATCAATTCTGAAATCCAACCAGATAAAGAAGTATTGTAACTTACGTCCGAACTTCGTAAAAAATCTATCCATTTCTACCGTTGGCTCCCATCCACCAAAATATCCGTGCATAAGTTCTATTGCTTTTGGTAATTCCAAACGAATTTCATATAAAACATCAGGTTTGATTAAAATTGGTTCTGGCAAAAATATCATTGCTTTTGGTTTTTCATCCCATAATTTTGGTACTAATCCAGCATATATTTGTATCTTCGACTGAGAGTTTCCATTGATCTCAGAAATTATGACGTTCGCATCACGTTTCTTTAGTATATCAAGTGCGGGTCCGTATGTCTTTGCCGAATAAATTTTTCCCAGTAGAAGCAATTGATTTGATTTGAATCTGACGATTTGTGTAGTTAAGAGAATTCTGCCTTCAAGTTTTGCACATGATCGTTGACAAGTTAATGGATTCGATTCGTCCCATAATGTGATTGCATTTCAATGTGATTGCGAAAACAGTATCCTGGAATTCCTCCAAAGTAAAAAGTCCAGTTTGTGCATTTGAGATCGCATAGAATTCTTCTATTTTCCTTGCTCCAAAACGAATCAGTTTGAAACAGTCGCCAAGTTGAGATTTTATGTTTTCCCCTTTATTTTCATCGAGATCGGCTTCTATGCACGCGAATTTTGCCCACAACAGACATGCATTAAATATATCTACTTCGTTGCATCTGAAGTCGAGTTTTAATATTTTTTCTAACGTATTAGTTTCACATCGTGCGAATGCTTCGGTGGCCAATATTTCCTTTGGTGATTTGATGAACTCGGTTTTACAATAATCGATTAATGCATCGTTTTCAAGAATCAAAGCCAACTCGTAACCCCAGCACATGTTTTCCACAGTTAATTGGCCAGTGAGAAATTCGGCGCATGCCTTAACATGTTCAAGAATGTCGTATTTATCCGCCAATCGAGCAACGGTGTCGATATGTTCCATGGTCAGCGTCACTTTACTTAAGTAGAAAAACTGTAAAAACTCTTTGAACCCTTCGGCGCTCGCATCAGCTATTGCAACTTCAGCTCCTTCCTTCAAATCACCGTAAAACATCTTGTTGAACACTGGGCTTAATGATGCCAAAATTGCTTTATTGGCTGGAACTTTTTTAATCACATCATATTTACTGAATACGAAGCGAACGTCAGCTAATTCATCGTTGAGATATAGATTTGCGGTTGCTTCCGATGCTGAGTAATTTTTTAAAATATTTGCCATTTTGAAAGTTCGAAATTGATAAAATTAGCAAAATTTCGTGCAAAAAACAATTTTTGTTACACGAGTACAATATATTGGATAGTGACAATTATCAGTTTAGAAACCAAGTGTTTGACAAGAAATGAAATACATAAATCTGCTGAAAATGCATTGAGGTGCTATGCGTTAACTTTGAAATGAAACAAATGTGTATGTATGCTTATACTTATATACTCAGTCAATTATTATTTAACATGTACAAAGAAATTGTTTATGCAAAAATACCCAAGACTTAACAGTTCAGGTTGAGTGTATTGCCTAAAGCAGACTGTATACATTCGCTTATAAATATGTATATATGTTCACAGTATCAGATTTCGCATACACTTAAATTCATATTGTAAATATTTCCTTAAAAAGTGCATAGTCTGCATTTGTACGGTAAACGATTGTGATTTCTCATTTAACTATATGTGCGGTATATATCCTTTGAAAGCAAAATTATATTTTCTATTGAAAACCATAAATTCTTTTTCTTCTTTCATTGTTCTTAAAGAATTTTTTTTGTTCTTAATTAATTCTATACCATTGCGTAAATACAATGATCTTTTTTCTTTTAGGTAACTCGTTTGAAATTATTTTAAACTTCGTTAAAACTAATTCTGAAGATGTAGAGGTATTAAACTTTATCTTTTATTTTAATTTTTAATTTAATTTGGATCGATTTCAATTTTTTTTTATATTTGAATTATGAACTATTGGTTTGCTCTAATCCATTCCTTTCGGTGTAAATATGGCTCAAAAATACCGGGTTTTGGATTTCCATTGCATAGTCCACAAGTTGGTTTACAATTCAGTTGTCGTGAGTTTCGTTTAAATATTTTCGGCTCATACCCTCCTATTGTGATGACAGAAACAGCATCTAATAACTCCTCCAGAGTGAAAAGTCCAGTGTATTCTTTTGAGATTGCATATAATTCTTCTATTGTCATTGCTCCAAAACGAATCAGTTTGAAACAGTCGCCAAGTTGAGATTTTATGTCTTCTCCTTTTTTTGCATCCAGGCCGTTTTTTTCGCATGAATTTTGTGCCCACTTCAAGCAGGCGTTGAACACATTCACTTCGCTGCATGGAAAGTTTAGTGCCAATATTCGTCTCAAGGTATCATATTCACATTGTTGAAACGCTTTGGTGGCCAATATTTCCTCACCTGATTTAACAAATGATATTTCAAAGAGTTTGATGAGTGCATCATATTCAAGGTACAAAGCCATTTGGTAACCCCAGCATATATTGTCCACCTTCGAATTTGAATTTAATAATTCGACACACAACTTGATATGTTCAAGGATATCATACTTATCAGCCAATCGAAAAACGGTTTCGAAATGCTTCATGGTCAGCGTAATTTCATACAAATAGAAAAACTGAAGAAACTCTTTGAATCCTTCGACGCTCGCATCAACAATTTTTACTTCAGCTCCTTCTTTTAAATCACCATAAAACATTGCGTAAAACACTGGGCTCAATGATGCCAAAATTACTTTGTTCGCCGGAACTTTTTCAACCACATCATCGCTACCGAATACAAAATGCACATCGGCCAGTTCATCGTTGAGATATAACTTTGCGGTTGCCTTTGATGCCGATTTACTTTCCAAATTAGATGCCATTTTAAAGATTTAACTAACAAAATTATTTGTTTCTTGGTAAACTTATGTAGGAAATTATTTAATTAACTGATATTTGTTTGACGAATTTTTTGACATGCGTTTTAAAGAACTTATGGTGAGTTTTTGCTTCTTCTGAGTGTTAGCAAGTAATGAACAAAAGAAATCTTTCCACACATACTAATGTACATTTGCATCAAAGATGGCTGCTAGTGTTGGTATTGTTTGTGTGTGTAATGCACACATACATGCACGACAACGATGATAAAAGGATAATATGAATGCCGTGAATCCTATTTCTTTTGTTGAATTCACATTTTTTCCAAACGCAATGAATTTGTAGTAAAATTATTAAAAGATTTCATTTTTAAATAGTATTTATTTTATTTATGAAACAATTTGGTAAGTTTGAAAATCGTCACAGCTACCATTGTAAATTAAATAATGCCGTATATGACTATGACCGAATTAAAAATTCAAAACATGCCATCATATTTACCTATCGGTATAAGTATAATCAAGAATACAATTAAATTTCTAAGAGCGACTTTCCAGTCATTTGGTACAGCATACGGTAAGAGAACTTGCGTCAAACGATGTACTTCGTGCGATGCACAAACGAAAATGAATGACGATATCAAAATATTAAGTGTTGGAAAGCCTGGCAAAAGTACAAGAACACCGTTCCTATCAGCGGCCAACCATATATGATACTGGCAAATAAACAACTCCAATGAAATGCGACCGAACCATGCGAAAAACGATGAGAATCTTATGCGAAATATGCCCGATATGTTGCGCAGTACAATATATGAAATGATCGGCAGAAAAACAACATACGAATGAATTTCTTCGCAATCTTGTTTGTTGCGGCACAAAAACGAGAATGTCGTATAAAATGCGATGCCGCCCAATGAAAGTATGGCGGCCATGATCGAAGTTCGGCCAGCAAATAAATTATGATTTGTATTATCGTCGACGATATTAAATTTTTGTGCAATATGAAAAATGGCTGCAAAAATCATGCCATAGGTGACGGTATATCGATCAAGTTTCCATCGATACCACCACTGATGGATGTCATCGTCTGTTGTCACAAACAGTGCCTTCCACGGTCGTGTCACAAACACTCGCTCGAAGAACACTTCACTCATGTAGAAAATCGTAATCACAATCAACAGACACACAAATTTCAACACCAAATAACAATATTTATATGGATTGTTTTCAACGCTATTCGAAGTGATTTGTGGTGGCAATGCCAGTACGAAATAAATGATAACAAACCAAAACGATATTAACGGTACAAAATAGTAAAATTGATACGGGCGATTCATGCACAAGCACAGCACAATGGTCATGAAATTCATTCGAAATAGAATTTGAAGGAATCGCGTGATGCCGGCGTTGCCAGTGTGCCACATATAACTAAAATGATTATAGCCCGATAAAAATAAATAGGCTGAAATTAATACTTTGATTTGCATATAAATCGGTGTTATCCGTTCGGCACCCGTCAAATGATAAATTAATATGACCAATTGCATCCATCCTTTCAATTCATCTGTTTGATCGCGATGCAATACTTTTGTGAATCGACTATCTTCGGTAAAAAATAACCCTAATACAAATACATAACCTAATGGAATCCAAAAGCTAAACTCTGAATAATATTTGTTCTCTTTCATAAAGAAATTGGTGCGATCGCACAAATAAAAATATCCCATTATTATGGCCAACGTTGAAATGGCAAACAATGGTGTGCTCAAATCATTGGCCAATATATTTGCAACGCTACTGTTTGTTTGTCGTCGTAACGGCACATAGAATGTATATCCACGTAAATGTAACCACCATCGCCTTGTCACCATCGCCATGGTCAAAGATAGACTGAAACGAAGAAAATCAAATAAAACTAAATTCATTAAATTTATCATTTTATCGAACACTTGGAAATTTACCTCACACCAAACACCGCGTACGTAATAATTTGCAGAACTGTATATGGTTCAGCGCTGCTGCAACATGAACCATCGTTAAAATTCATATAATCATTGCAGTACATATTCAAAAGTATTTGGATGTCATGTTGAGCGGCCAATTTACTCAAACGCCATCCATCGATTGTTTCATCCAGCAGACCGTTTGCGATCTGTTTCGACGATGAGAAGATCTGAACGCCCGAATACTTGAGAATTGAATATGCTGCCTCATTGTATTTGTCAATGATGTCATTTTGTACGTTCTTCCACTCATCGGCCAATTTGTCCTCATTGACTGGATCTTGAAGTTTCCACAGAATTTTTACTTTTTTCTCTCGCGTCAACGTATCAATCGGTTGCATGAGTTTCGATAAATTCATCGAATAACTCTTGATAATTTCCTTTGTAATGTTTCCCTGCATAAATTGTGCACTCGTTGTACTTGCAATGATGAACGAGGGTGGGTCTTCGATGTTTTGCCATCGATTGAATTCGGTTATCATTGGCGTTAGATCTGGCGAATGAATGAAATTCGCCCGCAATTTCAATTTGTAATCACTGTATTCCAAATTGGTGATCGGCTCATCGTAGCGCAGGGTCGTCGATTTGTTATCGTCCACATTGGCCGCTGATGAAAATACTTGTAAATGTTTGACAAATGCTTGATACAATGTACGAATTCGAACATCGCCAATAAACACAAAGTGATGATGACTTCCCCAAAATACCAAATAACGGAAACAACGTTTGGTATCACTGTAAACATCGGAAAAAATCAGTGATGGTTTTTTCCTATCTGAATAGCGCTAGCTATTCGCAGCGCCTGTACAGCATTGCTGCCCAGATGCTGAATCGTAGCGGTTGCCGCACGCGCAACACACTTCGTTTGTACCACACAGAGCATATACGTTCGCGTTCGTTCTCTGTTCGACATGCGTTTGTATACTGACTATGGTATTAGTGTATCATACTCTGTGAGCTCACTGGTTATTTAGACTATATGACAATATGTTGTGTGGTACAAAACGCGTGCGGCAACCGCTTCGATTCAGCATCTGGGCAGCAATGCTGTTCAGACGCTGCGAATAGCTAGCGCTATTCAGATAGGAAAAAACCATCACTGGAAAAAATGCCATTAAAATATATAGTGATTTGATTAAAGTTGGCCGGTGACGAACTCACGTTTGTGTATATTTGTGCATCATACAACCATACGGTTGCCATTCACGATTCCCTTTGAAACGTCCATCGGAGAGCAGCCATTTACATGAATCAGTGCCTATTGCGATGCAGAAAAATCGAATAATATTAGTTTTTTATGGATTCAATTCTGTTGCACTGGAAAAATCGATGAATCACGAAATATTTGCGTAGCATATTGAACTCACCGTATCTCAAATGAATCAATCCATGATAGAAGATGAAACCCAACACAAGGCACAATGCCACTTTTTTCGCATTATTCGAATTCAATTGAGAGATATAATACTCGGCTTTATTCACATCTTTTTCGGGCCGGTCTCCACTACCGCCAGCACCATCATCCGTCTCAAGCCTTTCCATTGTCGATCTGTGTATTTGAATTCAAAAATAAATATGCACATATCCAATTAATAGTACAGAGTTAAAAGTGCCGACACTCGATATGAAATGCAGTATTCAACATACTTTTACTTACCTCAATTTCAACACAATGTAATTATATTTTTACACACATAAAATAAAACATGTGCAGAAAAAGTCACATATCGATGAAATCCTTCTTCAGTTGCGTTGCAAATTAAATTGAAGTAATATTTTTGACAGCTCTATGCATCGATATATTTATTTGCTGGTGTAACAACAACAAAAATCCTATTACAATTGCTTTTGCATGTCAACAAGAGCAAATGTCAAGATGTCAGTATGTATTTTGTTTTGTTTTTTTTTTTTGTTCATGCGTTCCGGCGATTTCGCTGCACTTTGTTGCTTTGACAGTTGGTTTTGCCGGCAAAACAGCTGTTTCTCTCTCAAAAGATCACACTTGATTTCGATAGTTCAATTTCCATTTTTAAGCAATGTCAGAAGCAACGCGAATTTATTTTCGTGCTAAAAATCCAAATCCATTGTTTACCGAATGGTTGGAGTATTGGACGAAACAAGCGGAAGAAAAAGAATCAATGAAACAATATACATTGGCTAAAGCGTTGGAATCGTTGAAGAAATACCCGTTGGTTTTGTATTCAGGACGAGATTGTGCCATTTTGGACGGTTTTGGCAGTGGTATCTGTGCTATGATTGACAAACAATTACAAGTGTACAAAGATTCAAATCCAGGTCGATTGCTCAGCGAACAACAAATGGGTGTGAAGGAAAAAAGTATCATTTTTGATGTGAAGACACGATTTGACGAAAAACGAACCAAGAAAAATCCAATTTTTGACTTTAAGGATAAACTTGATGATACACTCGAAGCACTACTCAATGACAATGGATTTGAACAGGATATTGAAATGGAACCCATTGTGACAATGACACAACCCATGCCATCGGTAGATTTCATGCCATCGAAAGTGCGGCTACGTGGTGGCAAATTTAAAATCATTCTATTGGTTGACACACAAGAAACGGCTGGGTGAGTACGATTTAGACCACATTTTTGTCTTGCATATCGTATACGCATTTTGTGTTTTCTTTTCTTCAGGAAATCAAAACGAATGCTGGACACAACTTTGAAGGCATTGGAGCAAAGAAAGATTGTATTTGAAGTGCGTCGATTGTCAGTGGGTGATTTTCTTTGGATTTGTCGTGATGAAACAAGAAAAGAGCACGAATTTGTCTTACCGTATATTGTTGAACGTAAGCGAATGGACGATTTGGCGAGCTCCATAAAAGATGGCCGATTTCACGAACAAAAGTTTCGATTATCTGACTGTGGTTTACACAATAAAATTTATATGATTGAAAATCGCGGGAACAATACACACGTTGGTCTTCCATTGACGAATTTATTGCAAGCGGCCACAAATACATTGATTCAAAATGGATTCATTTTGAAATTTACCGACTCGAATGACGATTCAATGCTTTATTTGTCTGTTATGAGCAATTTGTTGATCAAAATGTTTGCGGTGAGTCTAGCCAAGTCTAACGAGCTGTTTTTTTGAAATTGACCTCAAATTAAAGGGAATTGATAATAGCTTCACATTTATACCAATTTCAAACTGGAAATATGTTAACATCATCATTTTCTTCTTGCAGAAAAAAGATTTGGTGCAATCGACAAAATCCGAAATCGATCGTTTACCCCCCACCTACTACAGCGAGATTAACTCAAAATCTGAAGTGGAACTGATTGACTTCAAAGAATTCTCTGACAGCACGGGAAAAATGAGAAATTTCACAATTCGTGATATGTTTAATCGTCAACTGGTCTCATTGAAAACCCTGTCAATCGATAAAGCGCTGGCAATAACCGAAGTGTATCCAACGCCAAAAAGTCTTCTGTCCGCATACCAACGGTGTTTCGATGAAAACGAAGCAATAAACCTTTTGGCAAACATTCCGTGTGGAAAAATGAAACGACCCTTAGGCGCAACAATTAGTCAAACTATTTATAAGTTATACAATTCAAATTCGTATGAATAAATAGCTACCACTTAACGAATATATCGCTCAATGTTTGTGATTCATTTCGCCGCTGTAATTGGGCGAGGCGAAATCGCTCTTCACACTGACATTTTTCTATCGCACGTGAATACTCTTGACAGTTTGACCGCTAAAAGCGACACAATAAAGATATCCTCATATTTATTTTTTGCCATTATTTCATAACTCTTGTGATGCGAAGGTTTTTCATCATAACAGACATCTGGTTTTATTTTCTTTGATTGATTCAGTGAAGGAATTTAATTTAATTTTAACAATTTATCGCCGTTTATTTTATCGTTTCTGTTGTTTTGCGTGCAATGAAATTCATTCACGCAGCGAAACAATTTATTACAATCCGTTCGTGGAAAGTGTTTCACAAAAAAGCATTCAGTCCGAAGTATCTATTGTATACAAATTGCTGTATTTCAGTGTCATTGTCGAGCGTGGGTGATTTCCTTGAGCAACAGTATGAGCTTTATACCAAAGATATCGAAAAATATAGCAGTAAACGAACGTTTCATATGGCATTATCGGGATTAACCGTTGGTGTTGCATGCCATTATTGGTATAAATTCATTGATGCACGCATTCCGGGTAGAAGTTTATCGATTGTATTGCAAAAAGTATTTTGGGACCAAATCATTTGCAGCCCGATTGTGATATCAACATTCTTTATAACGCTTGGTTTGCTGGAACGAACGAGCAAAGATGAGATTATTAGAGAAATTAAGGAAAAAGCATGGCGACTTTATCTGGCAGAATGGACGGTGTGGCCACCCGCACAAATTAGTATGACAACAATTCGATAATCTATTGATTTTAATAATAATATTTATACTATTATTTTCTTCTTGCAGTCAATTTCTACTTTCTTCCCAACCGCTATCGCATTTTGTATGACAACACAATCTCATTAGGCTACGATGTATACACCTCCAAAGTGAAACATGGGAAATAAGATTCTTCGGGGGAATTCATTTGAAATATGGTTACCACTGGCTCAATGTTGCACGTCACGAATATGTATTTGGATTTGAAAGAAACTGTAAATATTGATTGTAAACTTTCAAACATATCTGATATTAGATGAATAAATTTTTAACGCATTTGCATTGCAACAAAAGACTTATTCTTATTCAACAAACGTTATAAAACAGAAAATCAATGATCCTGTGAACCGGGCTACGAATTTTACGATCCAAGTACCTTACCAAACTCAATATGAATAATAGCCCCTTGCCAATTCAATAGAACATGCAACAACTCTGAATGTTTTGGATAAACAAGGAAATAATGAGATTGCTTGAGTGATCAAAAAACCCCAAAGTAATTTCCAGAGTAATGAAACGACAACATCAATAACATGTAGTTTGAAAAACATCATCTAGTAGGCCGAAATTTGCATGGAATAGAATGTACCATGCGTAAAACCATGAATGTATATTAGAGTGTTTCCCATATCTATAATTAAAAAAATGGTATGTTTCAATTTAAAGAGGGTCAAATTTCATGCCAATTGATAGCAATCACAAAACATAGAGATTGGTATTACGACTTCCCGAAGCGGGACTGTTGAGTCATGCGTAATTTCGTACACCTCTAGTTATATAAAGTCGTGTAGGCTCCAAATGGGAAATTCAAAATAAACAAACATAAACATAGCGTTGCCGAACTAATGAAATAATAATAAATATTCTGAACAACATCGGAAAATGTACATACATTTTTATTTTTGTTAACGGCCAAATTTCAAAAGTCCATCAATACTGCGATGACATTTCGCAGTTTCAATTTTGTTTATATCAAATGAGCGTTGTGTTTACTGTTT